CCCCTAAGAGTTTCAAACTATTTTTAAGAGTATTTTGAGCTTAGAGAGCTTCAAAACTTGGTTGTCACAGACTACCAAAACGATACTCACGCCCTTGTGCATAAATTACGTTTTTGTATTTTTACTATAAAAAATATGATAATATTTATGAGGTACTGCTTTAGTTTTAATGATCGTTATTTCTTTAATTTGAACATTTTATGCATTAGTTATTGACTGTTGATTATATTATATTGAGTTGTTAATTATGATAACAATAATAACATACTTTATTTATTCTGGGAAAAATCCTTTAGAATAATACAATTGTGGTTTTCGGAGTCTCAGAGTTTTATAAAACGAATAAGAAAATAAACAGATAGAAATATTACAAAATTATAAGTTCACCTCTAAGATTTATGAATTAAAAAGAAAAAAAACATGCTTGGAAACTAAATTAACAATCATAAACATATTTACAGTAAGAGCTGTTTACAATTATTTGGAAACTGGATGGATAGGAAGTGATTGAATTGGCGGGATTTAAAGGTGGGTAGTTTATTGGAGCCTCCAAATACGTCCCTCCAATTTGGAGGGAGAGGCGTATGAGTGAGTGGAATTCCATTGGGGCGAGGATCAGATAGTGAAAGATTTTTAGAATTCCCCGGATCGGTTGATCGTGGACGTATAGATCTGAAGATCTAGAGCGGGTATTGTGGGAATGAACAGAGAATGTGAATTGAAAATGTATGATGGACGGCGGAATCGGATAATTTGGAAGAGAAAGGATGATAGGAAATACGGTGGTAGGAAGGATATAGCCACTTCAACTTTTCATAAAAACGTCCCTTGAGATCTCGATGATCAAACGTACAAAGCAATTTATCAACCGTTTTAGTTTTGGCTCGATGTTTCCAGTGACACCAAAATAGTAGTCAAATTGAGGAAATTATGTATTTATATTTATAAATGTATAAACAGAAAATCTTTTGACAAAAAATAAAAATTGCAATCTGGATCAGTCCATTCAAATTAATTCAGAAAAATAATAAACAATTCCTTAACCAATTCAGAAAATATTCATATTTTGTTAGTTATTAACGTTTTGAAGGTTCAAAAATAGTTTTTGAATATTTTTATATTCGGTTCGAAAAAGGCGTCCATTTTTTTTCTAAGTTTTTTTTTTCGACATGTCCAGAGTAAGCAGATATGTATATATGGACAGTAGGGGATTGTGTTAGAATTCTCAACGACTTATCCAGGCTTAATAAGGCGAACATTGAATGGGTTCTGGACCATTCTGGAATTCATGGTAAGGAGATGGCCGATGAACTAGCTAGACAAGGCTCACAAATGACATCCATAGCTGCTGAACCCATCTGTGGCATTAGTCAGTATCTGACAACAAACAGAATCGGGGAGATATATGGTGCTGAAAACAAAAAGAACTAGAGCTTGAAAAAACAGACCCACTCTAGACTGTTTCTGGATGGAATCTATCAAAAAAGAACTAACTTACTAATAAATCTGAGCAGGAGCTCACTTAAGAAAATTATAGTAGCATAAACAGGGCACTGTGAACTGAATTATCATATGTTCAAACTCCGGCTCACAGAGTTGTCTCTTTGTAGGTACTGTGGCCGGGAGGATGAGACAGCATATCATGTTACTTGCTAGTGCGATAAGTTTGCAAGCTTAAAATTTCGTTTTTTCGGCATCGACAGGGAGAAGGATCCCAAGACAAACAGGCTTATCAATCCAATAAGCTTATTAAAGTTCATTGAGACTGCAGGAATTACACTCTAAACTAAGTGACTTTGAATAAGGCGTACAACAGGCCTACATGGCCGCAGTGCACTCATGCCGCAAAAAAAAAAAAAAAAAAAGCAGATATGTGCGGTTTCCTAAATTACTCGACTTGAAAATGTTTTAACTCTTTCAAATGAACTGGTTCAGTACATTCTGATCCATCAATACAAAAAATTTTAACCTACAAAATACGTTTATGTTTCCGTGTTGTCAAAGTTACCTAAGGTAAATGAACGAAATTCATGCGAAATTTTCATAAACAAAATCTTATGGAATGAACAATATCTGAGCCAGAGTTTATTGTATGCTTATAAATATACGTGTGTACCAAAGTGACCTGATATTCTCTTTTCTGAAACGGGACAGTCCTGTTTGTTAGAGAGGTAGGAGGGGGGAATGTAGAAAAAAAGTCGAACTGTAAGCGATCTTTGAAGAAGACGACGTTCGTTCCAATGGACCCAGGGAGTCGAGAAAAAAACTATTAAAAGATTTTTTTAACTCTTATTATTCTCTAACTACAAAAAAACACGTGCACATGATGCTGATTTTTTTTTCACAGAATAAGAAAAAATAAGATTAAGAGATTCTAATGAACTTAGGCCGCTGATAAGAAGTTCTAAAAACCAGTTTGCTTTATGTAAAGTAGGTAAATTTTTCTGTAAATGAATATAACAAGTTTATAATTGTTTTCAGAATAAAAAAAAAAAATCTTTGAACACAATTTTCAAATAAATCAGAAAATATTTTTTTATCTTAACAATTTACTTTAATATTTTGTCATACTTTTTTTTAACAATCCTGAAAATCTTTAATAGCTCTTAGGGACCCAGCCGACCAACTTTGATTTTCCATGCTACTACTTTATATATCTCCAAATGACAAAAGTCAGTTCTATATATCTGAATTTTAGATACATGACAGTATCATTGTTAAAATTAGGGCTTATATTTTTAAAAACTTCCGGTGTCATTGGAATTTTGATTGTTGATTGTTTTTCATTTCTTTTGGAAATAGAACTTTTCCCCCAGCGACTTTTGAAGTAAAGGTTTTCTTGAACTTTTATTTTAAAAAAACTTTTATTTAAATGTTCCGTCGAAAGTTGATCTAAAAAATGTATTTTTTTTTATTCATGGCTACACAAACCAACGACAAATTAGAATAATGTTTATTCCATTAAAGACAAACTATAACTCTAATCTAAGCCCAATTATAGTTTATTTTATTCAACGGAGCTTTTTTTAAGAACATAAACAAATAAAAGTCAAACTTTTACCACAAATCTTGAACTTTATTACTAAAAAGTTGCTTAGAACTTTTATTTCAAGGAATTTTTTCCTTAAAAGGTTTCACAGAAACTGTTAAAATGGAACTTTTAAAAAAAAATCCGTAGAAGTTTCAACCCCTGGTCAAAATATTTTTGATTTCTTTAAAAATTTTTAAATTAATTTAAAAAAAAGTGTATACTTTTTTGTTATCAGAAAAAGAAACTCACGTCTTTCCAAGGACACCAAAACTTTGTTATCTGATCGAGGTAAGGATGAGAAATTACACTTTAATTATTTTAGTTATTTGGCAATGATTACTTCCAATTAGCCACAATTGAATATATTTGTTATATTGTCAAAATTGCATGTTTACAAGTTTACGTTTCGGGATATTAACTCCCATCTTCAGAACCACAATCCCTATGATCTTGTGGATACAAGGCCTAAAAATAATGTGCTCCATCGTCAGTTTCTAATTCATGTTATAATAATGTAGGTATATAACATCTAGAGCAACGTCTTGCTTTTAGACTAATAATTGGGTGTCTGCAGACTTGTTGCTAATTGGAAGTAATCATTGCCAAATAACTAAGAATATCATACAACTTCTCAGAAAAAAGAAAAAAAGTACACTTTAATTTTTATCTAGATAAACGTGCAAAGTAATAAATGTACCAATCCACTCTGACAACTAAGAATTTTTTTTATGAGACTTTTTGGAGGAGCTAAATCTGAACATGGAGCTATTTTAATTTTTTTTTTTGAATTTATAAATAATTTTGGCATAAATTATATTTCATGTCCATTTCCGAATTTAGAAGCGATGATAAAACAGTCAATTAAAAAAAAAAATTTAAACTACAGGCTAGACAATATTTAACATTTTCAGATAAAAAAAAATACACATCTGTATATTATAATTTTATGGAAAGTTTTAAGAAAAAATTATTTTAATTGTTAATGATGTAGAGATGGTTGACCGTGATATAATATGAGAAGGAATTGGCCGACGGTTGCGGTCAAATAAATACTATTTTTTTTTAAAAATTGGTGTAGAAATTAATTTAAAAAAAAACTGCGTAACAATTAAAAATACTATTTAAAAAAAAAAAATAGTATTTATTTGACCGCACTCCTCCCCAACAACTCCTTCTCATATATTAATTGTTCATTTAATATTCTTGATTTTGCGGTGTACTGCAGAAAAAATCGTGTTGTGAAAAAAAAATTGCAGAAAAAATCGTGTTTTAATTAACATTAAAGATGTAAATTACATGTGGATAAGTGTGAGAGCTAAGTTACAATAATATATGAAAAAATACGCTTTTTATGATACCTAATGTTTTAGAATAAAAATGTAAAACTGAAATTATAAAATTTTTAGAAGATTTTATGAATAATTAAAAAAATAATTATTTAAAATGTTCGTAGTTCACCAGTATTTTTTTACTTTTAACTGAAATCTTAATTTTTATTTAATTTATGAAATTGTAAAGAACGTTTAGGTAAACAAGTTATTTTTTCGTAATCAAATAGTATGGTAGACCTAAGTCGTAAAGTTGATACATGACCCGGTAGCATTTATTAAACAAAACAAATCTTATAACATTCTATGAAGGGATTAAAACGAATTCGAATGAAATGAATGTACATCATATATCAAATTTTCTATTTAAAGAAAGAATTAAGAAAGACGAAGAAGAAAGAAAGAAAAGTAAATTTTATTCTGAAGCATTTAATCGATTAAATAATTATAATGAACAAAAAGGTGTCATTTGTCTGGCATAGTAAAAAAATAATTGTTAACATGATAATCTAATCTTAAAATTATAATAAACAAAACACATTATTCATATTATTTTGTACATGATAATTATATACCAGATAATTAAATAAAAATAAATATATTTAAAAAATGCTTTGACGTTGAAATAAATTTAAACTTACACTGTTTCCTTTTCCAGTTCCTAGATCGGGTTCCATGACGACAAGGGGATCGAAACTGAATGATACCGCGGGAGTCTTTCTCCCCTCCACAACCAGTTCCTTCATCAAATGCAGTTTACAACTCGAATAATTATAATTCCTCGATTGTACTGGCAATTAGTAGCAATAAAAAGAGTCCAAATATTGTTCCTTTGAAATAATAAAATGGTCTAATCAATGCCTAGATAAAAGGGTATTGCTATGTGTTGCATAAGTAAAGGTGCCGTACCTCTTATCTATAACGTTTACTCAAAAAATTTCCAAATTATACTTATCTAATTCTTGTTGTACCTTTTTTTTCCTTTTTTTAACCATGTATAATAATCCTCTCTTCACTTTATCTATCCTTAAATAGATTACGCTTCTGGTCCTGTATTGAAGCCATCCCCTTCATACCAATCGTGAACCGACGGCCTATCAGACATCTTCATCCTCTGTGGTTCTTTTTTTCTGATGTGCTTTATAAAATTTATAGGTATGTTTTGCTTTATCCACCACTGCCTCTCTTGGACTAGTTTTTTCCAGTTATATTCATGTATATACCATGTACAGACCCCTCATCATCATGTACATCTTCTACAGACCCCTTTTTATCAAATTATTAACAGTCGCAAGAAACTTCGAATAGCTTCATTTCATCGTAGCCTACAACTATTTTATTTACGAAAATTATTGGAATTGGGGCGTTTTCATTCTGTAGATCCGAAAACTTTTTCTATTTAATTAGGTACTAACAACTTGTTAATACCCATTTGTTTCCTACTTCAATTAAGATAATTTGAGCACAAAATCAAGAAAAAAGGTGGCCTTCAAAAATATTGAGCCGTTTGGCGTGACCTACACTCCCAAAATGTCAAAATAACGAGGCTACATAGGCCAAACGGCCCAGTATTTTTTGGCCACTTTTTTCTCGATTTTGTGATAAATTATATTATGATCCAAGTGGAAAGCAAATGGGTATTTTCGAATTGTTAGTACATAATTAAATAGACAAACTTTGCCGATCTCCAGATTGAACTTCGTGAATAGTTTCATCTCACTCTAGCCAACAACTATTTTATTTACGAAAACTCTTGAAATTGGGGCGTTTTTAATCTATAGATCAGCAAACTTTGTCTATTTAATTAAGTACTAAAAACTCGTAAATACCCATTTCCTTTCCACTTAAATCGTAAGATAACTTGACCACAAGGTCCAGAAAAAAAGTGATCTCCAAACATATTTAGCTATTTGGCCTATATAACCTCGTTATTTTGACAATTTGGGGGTGTAGATCACGCCAAACGGCTCAATATTTTTGAAGGCTACCTTTTTTCTGAACTTTGTGCTCAAGTTATCTTACGATTAAAGTAAAAGTAAATGGGTATTTACGAGTTTTTAGTACCTGATTAAATAGTTGCCGGTCTCCAGATTAAAAACACCCCAATTCCAAACGTTTTCGTAAATAAAATAGTTGTTGGCTAGGATGAGATGAGACTATTCACGAAGTTTTAGGCGAATGGTAATAATTTGATAAAAAGGGGCCTATACCATGTATTAGTAGCTCTATTACTCTGTCTTCGTTGATTTGATCTATCCATCCAGTTTTTGCCCCACCCATCTGGTCTCTTGCCAACTATCGTGGCATTCATTGTTGTGTGGAGGCTTCCTGATGGATTGTTCCGTGGTTTATCATTACCTCTTTGTCTTCATGTCATAAGATATTGATTGGCCATTTTCTGTAAGTAATTCTTGATTGGTCCTTCTCCATGTAGTAACGGATCCAGGATTTAATTTTGGGGAGCTTCATCCGGAAACGTTTTTGTAAAAAGATATATAGCTACAATTATTTTGAAAGAAAAGAAAGAAACTGACTACCTAAATCAAATGATGTTTAAGTGATTTTTAAAGCCTATTAAAAAAGAAATATTACATTAACAATAACACTTTCTTTCATTGATAATTTCTAAATATTTTTTTTCACAAGTAATGGTTATATTTAGTTGCTGTATATAGCAATATAGTTTTAAACATAGAACATATTGTGATTTTGAAAGTACTTATTTTAGATCATTCACGATAAAAAATATGGAAAAGTGAAAAAAATCATTCTTCATTCCAAGGGTCTCCATGCATTATAGATAGAAATCCTTCAGATTTATGGTGCTTACCATCCTAAAACATCAAATCATTATTATTATTATTAATTTGCTCTACAGTCCTTAATGGACCTGGGCGTCAGAAACAAGTTTCCGCCATTCTTCCCTATCGGCAGCCATTCTTCTCCATCTTCTGATACCCATGCGGCTGAGGTCCTCCTCCACGTCGTTGATCCACCGCAGCCGGGGTCTCTCCTTAAGACGTGGTTCTCCTGGGCGGTTATCAAGAAGTTTTCTAGGTAAACTTCACTAATCAAACTCCTTTTGACAGTGGCTACAATATCATCATTTTTAAACAGTTCATAGAGCTCTTCATTTTTCCGTTTTCGCCACTGATCATTTATTTCCTTCGGACCGTATATTTTCCTTAGGACTTTTCTCTCCCATATTATCAACAACTTCTCACTTTCCTGTGTCAGATCGCACGTTTCACACCCGTAGGTAACGACTGGCCTTATAATGGTTTTATAAATTGTTACTTTTGTATTCCAGCTCTGTTCCTTGGATTTCAGTAGTTTTGCCATGATAAAAAAACACTTATTGCCAGCTGTAATTCTGGCCTTTATTTCGGCCTGCATTTTGTTCTGGTCAGTGACTATTACTCCGAGGTATTTGAATTCTGTTCCCATTGGAAAGAGGTGCTGATTAATTTGAACATATTCATGCATAGCTACATTATTCCTTGAGGACTTCATGTAAAGACTTTTCTCTTCGTTTATCCTCAGGTCAAGTTGCATTGCTATCGCATTCTTCGATAGATCCCGCAAGGGCCGACAATGTGCGAGCGCTGATAAGAATATCGTCCGAGTATGCAAGACATGGTCCTTTTTGCTCTAACAACCCGCTCCAGGGCTAGATTAAAGAGGACTGGTGATATATGGTCTCTCTGCTTCAAGCCCTGTTTTACCTGAATGCTCTTTGAGAGGATGTTTTGAATCTTGACCTTACATTTGGTATCTGTTAGCGTCATCTCTGTCAAGGCAATCAATTTTTCAGGAATTTCCAGCATCCTCATAGTTTTCTGTAATTCCTTTCTGTCTATGGAATCATAAGCCTGCAGGAAATCTATAAAGGCATGGTGCAGATCCACTTTATGCTCGTATGTTTTCTCTAGCATTTGTCTTACAGCAAAGATGTGGTCCACTGTTGACCTATTTTTCCTGAAACCACATGGATAGTCTCCGCAAATTCTTTCTTCCCATGACGCTAGTCTCTTACTAATAGCAATGGAAAGGACTTTATATACAGTTGGCAGTAGTGCTATTCCTCTGTAGTTATTGCAGTTCAACTTATCCCCCTTTTTAAAAATAGGACATAGAACTGCAGTGTTCCATTCTTCAGGCATGGTTTCCTGCATCCAAATCATATATATGAGGTCGTAGAGCTGCTTAGTTAATTCTTCTCCTCCATTCTTTAATAGCTCTGCTGGTATTTCATCCACACCCGGTGATTTGTTGTTTATTAAAGACATAATTATTTTCTCTATTTATTCTTTTTCCGCCTGTATTTCCTCTCCCTTAAACATGTTTTCTCTTCATTACTCAGTTCTATGTTTCCTTAATTTAATAATTCGGAAAAGTATTCCGCCCATCTATTTAATATATCTTTTCTCGATCCCAGCAAGTTTCCTTTTTTATCTTTACAATAGTTTAGATGCGGTTTGAAACCGGTCCTTGCATTTCTTACTGCTTTGTAAAATTTCCTAGTTTCTTTTGCCGCATACTGCTCTTGCATATCTTTAATGATTTTGCTTTCCCAAGCCCTCTTTTTCTTTCGACAAATTTCTTTGACTCTTTTTCTTTGTATTATATAATTTTCCATTGTCACTCCAGTTGTCCTCTTCCAATCTTTAGCTCTCGCGTCATTACTCTCTCCAATTGCTTGTAAACATTTTTCATCAAACCATTCGTTTCTTTCTTTCCTCTGTTTATATCCTAGCACTTCCACAGCAACCTCATTCAACACCATCCTTATTCTCCGACATCGCTCTTCAACTGTATGCTCTTCTACATTGCTTTCATTTAATCTTTGAGTGATCTTTCTTTCAAATGCCTCTATCATTCTCTCGTTCTTTAGGCCATCCACGTTCAACACTCTCCTCTGTTTTTGCACTCGTTCGATATCCTCTGTTTGTATTTAGTTCTTACCAAGAAATGATCCGTGTTACAGTTCGCCCCTCTAAAAATACTGACATCCAGTATATGTGATTTGTGTCTTTCATCTATTAAGACATGATCGATTTGATTTCTAGTGGTCCCATCTGGCGACATCCAAGTTTCTTTGTGGATATCTTTATGTGGAAAACATGTACTACTTATTCTAAGTCCCCCAGCTGTTGCAAAATTAATCAGTCTGATTCCATTTTCACTTGTTATTTCATGCTTGCTATATTTTCCAATAGTAGGAATAAATTTAAGGAATTTCACCATACCTGGGCATTTTAAGTCGAAAATTGGAATTTAAGTTCTCTTTTTTTTGTTTTTTTTCTGGCATCAGCATCAGAGAAACTATGCGTTCTAGTGATATAAAATTCAAGCTGAAAAATTTTGCAATAGAATTGCTTACATTAATTTTTAATAGCAATCATAGTTTCCGAGATATCTGTCCTCGTAATTCACTAATTTCGAAAAAAAATAATTATAAATTGCCGTGTGTTTTTATCTTTATTTGAATAGCTAACAATCTTTATTTAATCTTTATTTGTTTTAAGGGAAGAACCCTATACAAACAGAGCCTATCAAAAAATAACGGACATTATTATCCTTATGGAAATACAAATTAATTCCTTTTTATACTACATTACAGATATTACAACACTCTTAAGGGTAAATTAAAAATCATATTCGGTAAACATTAGAC